TCATTCTCCAGTGCACTTCTCTGTTGAGTAAGCATTCTTCTCCAGTGCACTTCTCTGCTGAGTAAGCATTCTTCTCCAGTGCACTTCTCTGCTGAGTAAGCATTCTTCTCCAGTGCACTTCTCTGCTGAGTAAGCATTCTTCTCCAGTGCACTTCTCTGCTGAGTAATCATTCTCCAGTGCACTTCTCTGTTGAGTAAGCATTCTTCTCCAGTGCACTTCTCTGCTGAGTAATCATTCTCCAGTGCACTTCTCTGTTGAGTAAGCATTCTTCTCCAGTGCACTTCTCTGTTGAGGAATCATTCTCCAGTGCACTTCTCTGCTGAGTAATCATTCTCCAGTGCACTTCTCTGTTGAGTAAGCATTCTTCTCCAGTGCACTTGTCTGTTGAGTAATCATTCTCCAGTGCACTTCTCTGTTGAGTAAGCATTCTTCTCCAGTGCACTTCTCTGTTGAGGAATCATTCTCCAGTGCACTTCTCTGCTGAGTAGTCATTCTCCAGTGCACTTCTCTGTTGAGTAAGCATTCTTCTCCAGTGCACTTCTCTGCTGAGTAAGCATTCTTCTCCAGTGCACTTCTCTGCTGAGGAATCATTCTCCAGTGCACTTATCTGCTGAGTAATCATTCTCCAGTGCACTTCTCTGTTGAGTAAGCATTCTTCTCCAGTGCACTTGTCTGTTGAGTAATCATTCTCCAGTGCACTTCTCTGTTGAGTAAGCATTCTTCTCCAGTGCACTTCTCTGTTGAGGAATCATTCTCCAGTGCACTTCTCTGCTGAGTAGTCATTCTCCAGTGCACTTCTCTGTTGAGTAAGCATTCTTCTCCAGTGCACTTCTCTGCTGAGTAATCATTCTCCAGTGCACTTCTCTGTTGAGTAAGCATTCTTCTCCAGTGCACTTCTCTGTTGAGTAAGCATTCTTCTCCAGTGCACTTCTCTGTTGAGTAAGCATTCTTCTCCAGTGCACTTCTCTGCTGAGTAATCATTCTCCAGTGCACTTCTCTGTTGAGTAAGCATTCTTCTCCAGTGCACTTGTCTGTTGAGTAAGCATTCTTCTCCAGTGCACTTCTCTGTTGAGTAAGCATTCTTCTCCAGTGCACTTGTCTGTTGAGGAATCATTCTCCAGTGCACTTCTCTGCTGAGTAAGCATTCTTCTCCAGTGCACTTCTCTGCTGAGGAATCATTCTCCAGTGCACTTCTCTGCTGAGGAATCATTCTCCAGTGCACTTTAAGCTCAGGTGAAGGAAATACTAGAGGATCTGAGCCAGAAGGCCCAGGGCCAGATGACAATGGAGAAAGAGCTAGGGGCAGAGTAGAGTAGTAGATTGTTTAAAAATTCTGGAAGTTTGTGTGGTGGCGCACACCTTTAATCCCAGCACTCAGGAGGTAGAGGCAGGTGATCTCTGATTAGGAGGCCAACCTGGTCTACAGAACAGTTCTAGGACAGCCAGGGCTACACAGAGAAACACTGTCTTGGAAAAAAAAAAAACAACCCCAAAAACAAACCCTGAAGTTTACTATTTTGAATTAGCTTCTGCACTAGGCCTTAATATGCTAGACTAAAAACCAGAACTGCTGAAGTCCCAGCTGACAAACTGAAACTAAGTTATTATTCAGTAGAAATCCAGGAGGAAAGTCCAGGTTCCCAAACAGGCAACTGTAATTGGCATGACAATGAGGCTGCTTGGGTTTTTAATCCTTTAATCCTTACCAGTAACCTGATTTGTCCCTCAGCCTGGCAGGGGCACACACCAGTAATTCATCACTCTGAAGGGTCAAGAGGATTGCTAGTCCTGGGCTACACAGAGAGCTGGTCTCATGCCCCCACCCATACACACACACACACACACACACACACACACACACACACACACACACACAGCCTTACTCCCCTAGCCCCCAACACATAAACTTTGAAATGAGCAGTTCTTATGGTTTTAATAACCTATTTCAAGGTCTTGTCTTCAAATACACCTTTCTGCTTTTTTCACTCATTTTCTTTTTTTTTTTTTTTTTTTTTTTTTGGTTTTTACGAGACAGGGTTTCTCTGTATTGTTTTGGAGGCTATTGGTCCAGCCCGGCCTCGAACTCACAGAGATCCCCCTGCTTCTGCCTCCCGAGTGCTGGGATTAAAGGCGTGTGCCACCACCGCCCGGCTTTTCACTCATTTTCTATTAACTCCAAAATTATTCTGCTCACTTAAACACTTCCTCTACTTTATACAACCAAGTCTGGCTCTTTTCTAGAAACATTGTCTTATACCTACAATCAGAGCACTTGAGAGGCTTAAGCAGGACTGATATGTGTTTGAATCTGAGGTTAACCTAGGCTACACAGTAAGTAAATTACAGGTCAGCCTGTGTTACATATTGAGACCCTGTCTCAAAACACCAAAAGAAAGTCTAAGGGGAGACATCTGCAGGTCTCTTTCCTACTGACAGTTTCGACATCCAACCTAGGAGGCAGGGCTTAAAGGAGACCACCCAGAGGGTTGTCTACCCAGGCTGTGTCCTGAGAAAGCCCAGCAGCTGAGCCTGAGGACAAGGACACTTGTCGTCCCACCCATCATTTCACAAACCCCTTGAAACCTTCCTTGCCTCTGCTAACCGCTTGTCTACGCAGGCATCTTCCCAGACAGAACCCTGTATTAATACGCTCCCAAAGTGCTCTTTCGTTCATTTTCAGCTAATTCTGAATGGGGCAAGCTGGGCAAGCTGAGGCATCCCTGCCTTCCATCTTTACCTTCACACATATGCTCCCGACCCTCAGCTCAGCGTACCCCCAAATGTGTCCACTCTTTCCTCCTTCAATTGTGAAGTCCAACTGAGCATGTTTAGGAATGGGCCAGCTCCTGTATGAATATGTTTCGGCTCCCTGAATATGAACCTCATGGTTGCTTTGTTCGAGTGTCAGGAGCGGTAGTGTAGAAACACTCATCTCCCGGCGGCAGCCTGAGGAGTTCCTTAGTTTTAGGGATCTCCATTCAAGTAGAGATGGATTCTAGACTTCCAAGTAGAAAAGAACTTCAAGAGGCAGTCTGAATCAGAGTCAGAGTTTATTTAAAAATACAAACGTTTTAAGCACAAGGGTTCAGAAAGAGAGGAGGGGATGAAAGTCAACATCCCGAGATGTTGCTTGTTTTAGTCAAGTATCTTTACAGCAGCCTTCTATACTGTTTCTGGTGGCTTTGGACTTGAGCCTAATGTGATCATGGATAGTTTCTATGTACTGGATAGGGTGAGAGCTAAGGTAAAACCCTAGACCAAGCCGGTCGTTGATGGCGCACGCCTTTAATCCCAGCACTGGGGAGGCAGAGGCAGGCGGATCTCTGTGAGTTTGAGGCCAGCCTGGTCTGCAGAGCTAGTTCCAGGATAGCCTCCAAAACAATACAGAGAAACCCTGTCTCAAAAAAACCAAATAAATAAATAAATAAATAAAAATAAAACCCTAGACCAGAGATTTTCATGGGAAATTAAATCATTTTACTGAAAAAAAAAAGTTTGGCCTTCTTTTTGAGACTCTCAGAAAATATCTAGGAAAGGAAAGGAGAAGGTCACACTTGAAGGTCATATAGGTTTAGGGCTTAAGCATGGTTCACTGTTATTTTAATACAAGGCAGTGGTGGCACACACCTTTAATCCTAGCACTCGGGAGACAGAGTCAGGCGGATCTCTGTGATTTTGAGGACAGCCTCTGCCCCCCCCCAAAAAAGGGTAACTCCTAGCTGGAAACCTTTACAATAAATGATAATTGTGTTAGACTTCTGCCGGAAACATCACTAGTCTCCTGCTCCTTTGTGTCCCCACAATGGAAAGGATGTAAGAACTGGAGGATGGGAGAGACATGCTGGCTGCTGGACTGACTCACGGCACCCATTGTCACCTACACAAGATCAAACCCCGCCCTTGTGGAGGAACTATCTGCAGCTGATGACTGCAGAGGGAGGGAGGGTTGCTCTCCTGTGGCAACATGGCCACTGGTAATTGCTCACACCCTAGTTCATGATCCCACACCCATGAGCATATGGGCAGCACTAACTGGTTTCAGGGTTATTAGCAACAACAACAACGGAGGACCTGCTATTGGGAGGGAGCAGAACAAGGGCACGAGGAGGAGCTGGAGAAGGTGCTGATGGGTAGAGATGATCAACCCAGGTCCTCTGCAAGAGCAGTAAATGCTCGTAATCACTGGGCCATCTCTCTACTCCCAGATACTTTTTTAAGGACTAAAAGATTGGAATAAAGTTTTTTGTTTTGTTTTTCGAGACAGAGTTTCCTTGTGTAGCTTTGGAGCCTGTCGTGGAACTCACTCTGTAGACCAGGCTGGCCTTGAACTCAGAGATCCACCTGCCTCTGCCTCCCGGATGCTGAGATTAAAGGTGTGTGCCACCACTGCCCGGTTCAAATAAAGTTTAAAAGAAAATTTCTGTGCTTCTTCCAGGAGAGTTGCAAGGTAGGGGTTTGGTCACCCTGCCTGCTGTGTGTGGGGGTGTGGAGGGAGGGCCGCTCATGCTGAAAGGTTAGATTATCTCTCCCTCCTCAACTGCTTCATACCGAACCCCTGGGCAGTCCCTTTGTAAAAATGGGGCAGAGGTAGGTTGGGGAGTGTGGTGGTTGGCTTAAATATCAATTGGCCCTAGATCATAATCACCTGTAGGGACCCACACCTGGAGAACAGTCCTGGGTGCCTGTAATGGATGTGGGAAGACCCGCCCGAGTGTGGGCAGCACCTTCTGGAAGCAGCTCCCGCCAGGAGGGCAGCAGGAAGAGCCTCACCTGTGCTCTCCCGCTGGCTGCTGAGTTGATGGACCCTGTTGTTGCCAACATCAGAACCAGCGTTTCCAGGCTCTCTGGGAACTCTCCGGGTTGGGGGAGGAGGCAGGTTGGGTCTGCTGAGGCCTCAGACAGTGACCTCTCCATTGAGACAGTGCTCCCACTGCTCAGGGTCCAGCCTGAAGGGCCAAGGCTCAGTCTCTCAGGTATAAGACAACTGTTTACCATACGCTAAGTTTAATTCTTTTATTTTTACCCTACCAGTTCTGTGCCTGCCGAGAACCAGGCTAACACAGGAGGAGGAAAGGCTGCAGTCTCTACAGAGCCCCAGATGCACAGCACTCATCAAGCCATCCAACAGGCAGTCTGCTGTTGCTTGCCTCGCAGACGGTCTGCAAATCTCTAGACTAGACTAACTGGTTAGTGTTTGTCAGTGACATAAACTAGAGTCACCTAGGAACAGGGACCTTCCACTGAGGTGAGCACATCTGTGGGGCTTCTGAACTAGTAACTCACGTGAGAGGGCGCAGGTGGTGGTCCAGGGTTATATAAGAAATTGGGGTGAGCAAGCCATGGGGAGAGAGCAGGCCAGTAAACAGCATTCCTCCTTGATTCTGCTTCAGTTCCTGCCTTGAGACCCTGTCCTGACATCTTCTCGTGACAGACAGCAAGTCAATGGACCCTTTCCTTCCCCAAGCTGCTTCTGGTGTCACACCACAAGAAAGCAAACTGGAGCACTGGTCTTGGCTGGGCAAGGTGGCACACGCCTGTGAGTCCAGCATTCCTAAAGTACAGGCGAGGAGATAAAGAGCACAAGGCTATGTGGGACCACGTCTTAAGCAAACAAAGTCTTCTTGAGTTGGATTCTGAGCAGCCCGCTGGAGTCAACTCACTTGTCCTGACCTCTGTCTCCACAACTCCTGAACAGTCAGCCAGCCTGGGACACTGGATCTCCTGGTCTGCAACTCTGCATAAGGCCTTTTGGAGAAAGCTGGACATGTGTCCTAGGCTGCAAGTGGGCGTTCTGGAAAAGGCTTCTCAGATGAGGCCTAGCAAGATGAAGCCATTTCTGCTCTCACACAAAGGCTTCTGAGAACACGTATGGAGAGAGGGATGTGTGTAGACAGGATGACCTACCTACATGACGATTACCGCTGACCGGGTGTGATCCAAGCCCTGGTAAGTCTGCCCTAGAAGACCAGAGCTGGGTCGCTGTGGTGGAGGTAGAAGGGTTGGCACTTACTGTGAGACACTGGAGAGCGCCAGGATGCTTAAGGTTCTGTGAATGAATGAGGTGGGAATTTGGCAGATTCTCCTCTGGGTTGGTCATCTAGGGAGAGCTGAAGGATCCCAAGGCTGCCATATGCACTGTGCACTGGCCTCTTTGGCCTGACCACCACCTGCTTCCCTCATCCTCTACACAGCAGCTGTGACCTACGGCTCACAGAAAAGTTACCTTCACGATAAATGAATTTAATCTCTAAAGACATGGATTACAAGACAGTAACTGGTGTGTGTGTGTGTGTGTGTGTGTGTGTGTGTGTGTGTGTGTGTGTGTTGAGGCAGGGTCTCACTATGTAGCCCATGCTGGCCTCAAACTCACCTTGCAATCTTCCTGCTTCAGCCATCTGAGGTTCAAGGCACGTACTACCAAATCTGTGGATTATGAAGTTGAAAGTTACAACTCTTGTTTTCTTGCCCTTATAAAAAGCACCAACTGGTGTGCTCCTGTAGCAACACAAGTAGAATGTTCAAGTTTTAGGCCTTGGTGTATGTACTGTTGACAGAGTTGCACTGCTGACCCTAATAAAGGAGCTGCTTGGATTGGCTTACAGTGGAATCATAAAACGGATCTCCTTCTCATAGATGTCTGGGATCAGTCCCATTGGAGAGTTAATCATGTGCATTGTATTCATGCCAAACAGCTGGAACTCATAATTGATGAGCTGTTCCCAAAAGCCACTGTTGGGTCGAATGATGGGCCGGCGTGATTTGGTCCAAGTGTGGGCATCTAGGAGGGTCATGGCATGGTACTTCATGAGGTAGGCGAGGCACAGGGCAGCTGAGCGGCTTACGCCAGCGGCACAGTGCAGCAGTGTGCGGCCCTGCTTCATCTCCACAGAATGGATGTGGTCGGCAATGGGGTCGAAGAAATCACAGAGACGTGCGACGGGTGCGTCAACCACAGGCACCTGCACGTACTGGATATCCTCGTAGAAGGTGTTTGCTACCTCTACTGAGACGTTGATGACCGTGGTGATCTGATGGCTGGACAGCAGGAGCTTGTTGTTGGCAGCCACACCATTGCTGATAAACAGGCTCTGGGTGATCTGTGAGAGGCCACTGATGGAAGGCTGTGGGAACTGGATTGGAGAGGCACCCAATGGTGAAGTCATCAAGGTGACAGGTCAACAGCTGGTGATGTGTTAAACTTCCATCTTTTTCTGCTAGGCTGTGCCCACAACACTGCAGGAAGGAGGACAAAGTTGAGAAGGCTAAGAACCCAGAAGGCTTCTGGGAAGTAGATGGCTGGACCTCTAAGGCTAGCCAAGGTGGTCCTCTGACCAGCACTACAGAAGCATCCAGGGAACTCATTAACTACACTCAAGTTCAGTGTCACTAAGCTGGGACTGTTACTGGAGTGCTGGGGGTCTTTTCTCACAGAAAACAATGGAGATGAGAACAGTCAACTTTAAAAGGACTTCAGCTAGTGGGTGGAAGGGGGTCCTATGGTCCGAGAGAACATGGACAAAGGAAGGAGCAAGCCTTGGGTTTACCGGGGTGGGCTCAGGTCAGGTCCTAAAGAGCTTCAGGAGAAACAGGATGGTACCCAGCAGGGCCTTGGTCCCTAAAGAGTACCCACACAACTAGACACATAACTGGTGTCATCTACATGTATTTTGCTCAACCTCTAAGTCAGCTGAGATCGAGTGGAAGTGAAGCCTGACGGTACTCACCCGGAACACAGCACTCAGGAGGCAGAAGAGGAAAGTGGAGGGCTTCAGACACATGGCCCTGCTGACCCACCCCCATGTGCACCCAAATAAAGAGCCAGGGAAACAAACTACTTCTTTAGTCCATCTGTCTTCGTGTCCCCCCCCCCCAATGAAACAGAGCCCTTTACTTGAAATTAACCTTTGAAAAATTGGGATTACAGAGAAAACAAGTAGATTTCCCAAGCAGGCCAGTTTCAACTAGCATAAGGAACATCTGTCTTAATCCTCTCATACCAAAAGGTCATCCAAAGTAACCTTGGGCCAATCAGTACAGTTCTGTCTCTCTGTTCCAAGGAATGTGACATGTTTTTGTTTCTGATCTCCAGTCCACTCCTATCCACAAAACCACCTCCTCTTGGCTCACTGGAACATTCTATTGTACAGAAAGAAGTGTTGCGCAATTTTAGAATAGAAAATAAAGCCAAATAAGATCTTTAAACTGTTGATCAATGGGGCAAAACGCCTTATAAAGATGTGATGAAACGAGGTAATCCAAGGGCTTGCAGGAAAGTTAAAATGCAAAGCCTCATGGGAATGACAAACAAAGGCGTGTGTTTCAGGCTGGGGGTTATAGAGTTGCAATCAGACAGTAGGGCACAGCAGAGCAGACCGGAAGCCGGGGCAAGAAGATGGGGGAGTTCTAGACCATCCTGGACTACTGAAATTCTTTTAAAAAACAAAACCACCCACAACAAAAGAACAAACCTAGTACCATTCCTACAAAAATGAACAGTTTTGATTGAGGAGGAGGAGGAAGAGAGAAATTTGGTCGCGGCTGTTTTCGCACTTTATGGCCAACGAAGCCTTCGACATCGTTGATTTGTCACCAGTCGCAAGGGAGACTCGAAGGTAAATAGTTTTGTTCATCGTCAGACAGCAAGTTCTAAAGTCTGATATTTCTGAATTACGCTTTCTGGGGAAAGTTGGCAAATATAGGTGAGGCATTGGTTGAATTCTGGGTTATAAACGTGGACCAGAGTCCACAAGTTGATGAGCGGGAGGTGCCACCAAACCTAGGACGCTTCCTAGGGAGTTGGCCTAGGAATGGCCCATCACTACGTGGTGACAACAATCACAATCGGGTGATTTTACCTCTTTCCCACAGCACCACGGAGTCTTTCAGGAAGCGACTGCAGGGCGGAGCCGCGGGCGACGGTCTCCGAGAGGGCCCATCATGATCCTGGATCTCGGCAGCAACGGCTTCTCCTCGCGCAGCCCCTGGGCCTAGGGGTCAGCCGCGGCCCGTTCTGCACGGGGACGCAGCCTCGTAGGACTCGAGCAGTTACCAGACCTCCGGGGAAGCGGGGTGGGCTGCAGCACAGCCTACCAGCCCGTCTCCACGGAAACGAGCCTCGCAGAGCGTCTAGGAGATCCCGGAAGGACCGCCACCAGATCGGCCGCCGCCTCCCGGCCCCGCCCCCTCGCGCGTCTCCTAGGCAACTCCCTAGTCGAGCGTCACAAAGCGCCAAAGGATCTTGAAGTCCTTAGCCTGCAGGCTCCGCCCCCTTGTTGTCTCCAGGGCAACGCGCAGAGCTCCGCCTTAGACTTCAGTTCAGACAGTCAGCTCCGTGTCCGCGCTCCCTTCCTTCAAGGCTTTTCGGTTTAGCTACCATTCCGAGTCGTTCTCCGCCCTGGCAGATTCCTCCTCACAGCCCAGAAAACCTTCGGTCAAATGGGACCTGGGCTCGAATTTCGAGTCCGTTGCCAAGGAGACCGCCGCCCCGAGCTCGGACTTCCGGCGCGAGAGACTAGACAGCCAGCCGGATCTTGGCGTCCGAGTCCAACCGCAGACCTTGTTCCTGCGGCCGCGGCCCGCCATCTCGAAGTTGTTATTCAGGTGTGGCTCTGGTGTACAGACCGGTCGTCAGACCCGGGGCCTCTAAAGGAATCCGAGATTTCAGATCCACATGGTCCAGCCGTGCCCCCCACTCCGACCCACCCCCGCCGACCCGAGTTCCTCAGATCCCAGGAGGGTCGGGATTTTTCAGACCTAGGCCAACCCGTAGGATCCCCCGAAGTCCGGGCTCCGGGCAGACGGCGCAGTTCCATGTCCAGATCTAGGAGTAAATCCTGGCCCTAACTTACTGCAGGCTTGACCTCGTGATATCCGAGCGCACTTTTTTTTTTTTTTTTTTTTTTTTTTGGTTTTCCGAGACAGGGTTTCTCTGTGGCTTTGGAGGCTGTCCTGGAACTCGCTCGGTAGACCAGGCTGGTCTCGAACTCACAGTGCCTCTGCCTCCCGGGTGCTGGGATTAAAGGTGTGCGCCACCACTGCCGCTGACGCTTCTTAATGAGCAAGTATCTATCCCTCTGTGGATAGATACCAACGCCCGGCTCCGAGCGCACTTTGAGGTGACACTTGGTGAGGCTCAGGTCTCAGGCCCAAATTTACACAACAATCCACCTAAGCCTTTCCATTCTCCAGTGGTTCTGGAAAAGCTCCCAGTTGTTTGGTCCCAAGCCTCAATGCTGACCCCCTTAACCTTGCTTCCCCCAGCATCAGCCAAGTTCCTATGGAGGATTTATTATGGAAAAGCAATTTGGTTCAAAAATCATCATTTATTACTTGAGAGTATTTTCAATCTTTCTCCCTTCTCATTTCCAATATTGATAAATTAGGTGCACCACTAAGTAAAGAGGACCTTTAAATATCTAGATTCTTTTTTTTTCCCCTTGAAAATAGGATTTAGACTAGTGTGTGAATTCCTAACCTTTAAACGCGTTTTCCCATCAGCATCTGGGTATGTGGGGCTTTTCATAGAAGCCAGAAAGACGGAAATAGGAAGCTTGGATGTTGGTTTCTTTGTAATGTGTAAATGCAGGCACACCCAGAAGACAGTTGTTACCTACCGATAGAAAACGATTTGGAAAACATTTTCTAATCCCTTGAAAGGTTTTATTCTTTTCCCATTCTTAAACTGGGTGTGGTTGCCCATGTTTATAACCCCAGCACTGGGATGGGAAATTCAAGACCATGCTTAGTTTAAGAAGGAGTTCCAGGCCAGCCTGGGATACATGAGACCTGTCTCAAAAAATACATTTTTTTAAATCCTAATTATAAAGGTAGTGTGTTTTCTGATGACCTTATTGTTCTGATGTGCTAGCCAATAGAATTTATGAATGTAATACAAACTATCATGTTTGCTGTTCCTTCTGTTCCTATGAGTAGCACTCAGCCAGCCATTTCTGTTTCACCTTGTGAAACTATGTGTGTAGTTCTTGCTTTTTTGTTCTTGTTTGTTTGGGAATCTGTGTTCAGGGGACATTTCACTAACACGTCTATCAGTTCTCGGTTTCCTTTAAAATGGTTTGTCGGTCATTACAACAGCAATGTACACTAATTAAAACATCATCAGCAACAAAAAGTTGAAGACTGAAGACCCCTCCGCAGAACGAAATGACAGACTCTGGAGATCCCCCATGGAGGGCCTCACTCTCCCTGGGGAATGGAGTGGGGATGGGGTGGGGGACTGGAGGGGCTGGGAGGGCTGATGGGGGAGAAGCGGGCATGGAGGGGAAGAAGAGGATGCTGGGACTGACATGGGAAGCAAGCTTGTTTCTAATTTAAATATAATAAAAAGTGTTTCAAAAACAAAACAAACAAAAACCACAAAAAGCTGAAGACACACCAGGAAAGGAATGGCCAGAAACAATCACTGTTAACATTTTGATGTATACATTTAAGGTTCTGTGCTGGCTAGGTTTTGGCAACTTGAAACAGTCTAGAATTACATGGGATGAAGGAACCTCTGTTGGGAAATTGCCTACCTCTGATTGGCATGTGTGCATGTCTGTGGGGCTTTTTCTGAATGATTGACTGGGAGGATGCTGCCACCCTGCGTGGTGCTGCCCCGGGGCAGGTGGTTGGGTTGTAAAAGAGTCATGAAGAGCAAGTCAGTAAGCAGCCCTTCTGATTTAGTTCACGCCTTGAGACCTGTCTCTGCTCATTTGATGAGTAACTGTGACCTGTAAGCTGAGCAAAAGAAGCACTTTCCCTATCAGGTTATTTTGGTTAGTGTTTTATCACAGCAACTAAGAGGCTAAGATAATTCATGTATGTGTGTTACATATTTTTTAAAAACATATAGCACAAAAACTCACTTTAGTAATCTGCTTTTTTCTCTAGTTATACTTGATTACTTGTGTTTATCTGACGACTTAGCACAATTATCCGCTTCTTCCTTGATGAACCCTTGGCTTGCAAATTTTAGAATGTATGAACAATGGGGAAAATCATTTCAAAAGCTTCATAGTGTAACTAAATTATCAGAAAATGAAAACTCAGGGGCTAGCCACATCCTCTGATGTCATTTTTTTGTTGAGACATGTAGCCCAGGTTGGCTTACCCCACAATGTAACTAAGAATGGCCTTGAACTTCCATCCTCCTGCTCCTTGTTCAGGAAGCATCCTGTTGGCAAAACTTGGAGTGGTTTCCTCACTCCTCAGGAAATGAGAAAACCACTTGAAATCCAAGGAGGATCCAGGTGTGGTGTCACACAGTTTTAGTCTCAGCACTTGGGATGCAGAGGCAGGTGGATCTCTATGAGTTCCAGGCCAGTGTGGTCTACGGAGTGCGTGCCAGACCAGCCAGAGCTAGGTAGCAAGACCCTGTCTCAAGAACAAAACAAAATAAACCCACAGAGGTATCTTCCACTATCTCAGCACCTGTCAAGTCAGGCCTAGACCAGTTGTCTCTAACCTGTGCTATCTTCCCCTCCTGACTCTAGCATAATAAATTCCAGTGATGCAAATGTGAAGAAACTTTTACCCAAGAGCCATTTACCTCGGGTGATTATTCGGGACAACCTCAACGCACAGCGCATCTACGAGATGGAGGTAGAGTATCCACCAGCTCCTGGGTTGGAGCCCGTAGTGGCCTGGCCGTTCTACACTCTTATCTTCCTCCTTCCTAAGATTGCTGCCTGTGAAGCCCAGGGGGGAAGTGGGACTCAGCTCCTAGGGGTGATAGGAGGCCGTGAAAGTGTTTAAAGCAGGTTCCATCTTTATGGAGGAAGCAGATGACACCTGGGGTTAGTGTCCTACCCAGGGTGTCACACTTGTCCTGCATGAGCTGAAGAGACAGAGAAAGACCTCACCTCTTGGCTCATGTCTTGTTTCCTCAAAGCACATTATCTCCCGTGCAGAACCGCAGACTATGACTTCAGTTGGCATCAACACTATCTGGCTAGTTTTTTTTTTTCTTTTGAAAACTTGTCCCATTTCCAGAGGAGAACTGAGGCTAGCACCAAGAACAACAAACCCACAGCATGACAAAGACTGCGTGCGTAAGGCCCCATGCATGTCCCCTGTGTTTAACTTGCCATACTATGGTCTAGTAGAAATAGGCTGGACTCAGAGATAGGTCAGTTTTATAGGTTCTTGGGTGAGTCACACTTCCTACATTTTTAAAACAGGATTTGAAAGTCTCCTCGTTACAGGTTCTATGAAATAGATTTGAATGAGTTTAAGCAGAATAGGGAATCAAGTTCACATAAGCAAGGATGACTAGGACAGGATGGCCTCCATGGCTGCTTCTGCCTCTTGCAGTCCGTGTCTCTCTTAGGGATGTACCCCTTTCTGCCGGACTTAGAACGCTTGTGTATGTGTCTCACATCCAGATTACGCTGTGGTTAGGGGGATCCCCTCCTGCAGAAGTTCACTGTAATGCGTGACTGAAGGGGTAGGGGAGGGTTTGTCCTCCCAGCCTTAGGGTCTTATTGAGACAGGACAGGAATTAGGGATTGTATGAAGTTAGAATTCCCTGTGATATAAGGGCTGTCACAGGGAAGTAGACATATATTAGGTAGACATATATTGATATGTCACAGATAATATGTAGACATCACAGAGATTAGTAAGGACAGGGTAATAGGATCTATGGGAGGAGAAAGAAACAAGATGGGGACCTCCTTGCTCCTGCAAACTCCACTTCTTTTTTTTGTTTTGTTTTGTTTTTTTGTTTTTTACGAGACAGGGTTTCTCTGTATTGTTTTGGAGGCTATCGGTCCAGCCTGGCCTCGAACTCACAGAGATCCGCCTGCCTCTGCCTCCCGAGTGCTGGGATTAAAGGCGTGCGCCACCACCGCCCAGCAAACTCCACTTCTTTATTCGCTTACAATTTACACTTATTATTTTTTCTGCGGTGTTGGGAATTGGACCTAAGGCCTGGCACACTCTAGGACATTTCTCTATTGAGCTTCATTCCCAGCCCTGCAAATACCCATTTCCATAGCTTAGTTGTTCAGTTGAAATCAGGCTCCACAGCTGCAGACCGCCAGAGGGCGCCACAGTACTCTATTCTGCCCAATGACCGCTTTACAAATAGGGAAACGGAGATCCTGTGTGGTCAAAATTATTTTATGGAATGAATATTGTGTCTAACAGGCATCTCGCCACTTATAGGTCAGCGACCTCAGATGTCTCTTACTACCAAGTGAGCTGTTTATCCTAAATTCATCTCTGTATTTTGTAAGATGAAAGCTTCCGATAAGACCAAGAGAAAAATGAGCCACTTGTACGACCACCTGAAAAAAAAGTTCATGACAGACCAGCTGAGAAAGATGCTGCGCTGGAGGCGGGAGTCACTGAACACCCAGCAGTACTTGGATAGGCAACGTTTCTTCAGACACTCGACTTAGACTGGAAACCAGCCACCGTAGCAGTGGCAGAATGGTCTGCCTCAGAAACACAGAACCGCCCTGGTGAGAGCTAAGGGACCCAGGAACATGCTGGTCTCCACCACTGTAGGCAATAAAGGAAAAGCAGCGGGTAGGGTAGGAGCACAACATGTCCTCGGTGCTAATTTGCTTTGTTCCTCCATCCCTACAGCCACGGATCCTTGGTGGGAGGGGCAGGGTCAAGCCAGCCTCCCTGGTTTGTGTAAACATGGAAACCTCTGTGCCTATCTTTTTCTTTCTCTTTTTCCTGCTTTTCTCTTTCCCTGCACCGCCCTCATGCTCTGCTCTCAGTCTCTCATGTCAGCCCTTCCTTCCTTTGGTCATTTTGGTGTGGAGACACCTCAGGGGTTTGCATAATCTCAGCACGTGCCGTCCTCAGCCACGGTGCACACACCCCTGGGGGACACACCTGCCAGCTACACTGAAGCTGCAGACATCTTAGATGCAAAGGACTGAGAATGTCACTGTGCGACATTGCAGTGGTCAGGGTCAGGGTGAGGCACCAGACAGTGCTGTTTCTGCCACCTACAGTTTGTATGACCTTGGGACCTCTCCGGGTCCTTGTTTCCCTGGAAGAGACAGGCAGTAGGAAGACAGGCTGCCTCCGGGAGCTGGCAGATGGCAAGCGCCTGACTGGCCCAGAGCTCAGCCTTCCTACTGCTGTCCCTCCTGCTGCTTCCTCCACAGAGCACTTTCAGACCGTCTGCCTCCTCTCGGCCCCTAAGAGCCTGCTCAGGTCCCATGCTTGCTCTTCTGGTTGACCGAGGCTTCTTCTGGTGGCTTCTGCCTGCAGTATAGAGCTCAAGTCTTGCTCCTTAGCCCTGATTAGATTGTAAGCAAATATTTTAACTTTCTCCCTGATTTCTTTTTTTTTTGTTGTTGTTGTTTTTGTTTTTTGAGACAGGGTTTCTCTGTATTGTTTTGGAGGCTGTCCTGGAACTCACTCTGTAGACCAGGCTGGCTGGCCTTGAACTCACAGAGCTCCGCCTGCCTCTGCCTCCTGAGTGCTGGGATTAAAGGCGTGGGCCACCAACACCCAACTTTCTCCCTGATTTCTTAAGTAAGCCATTGTTCATTCAAATGTGTCTACATGTATTCATGTGGACTCTGTTGCCTTTTGATATCTAGTTTTATTCCACTATGATTTGATAATATAAAATAAATTATTTTGATTGTTTTATGTTCATTAGAATTGCTTTGTAACCTAGAATGTGATCTATTTTAGAGAAGGCTCCATGGGCTGCTGAGAAGAATGCATAATCCATTTCTTTTGGGTAGACTACTCAGTAGGGATCTGTTCAGTCTACTTGATCAATGGTGTAGTTTATTTAACTCTGCAGCTTCTTTTTGATTTTAGTTTGAAAGACCTATCTAAGGATGAGAGTAGTGTATTGAAACCACCCATTGTTACTGTATCAGGACCTATCTGACCTTTATGGCCTTTAGTGTTTTATAAAATTAGGAACCCCGAGTTTCATGCTTACACATGATGTGTATTCTTACAATTGTTATGTAATTATCATTGCTATCTCCTGATTTCTTTGAAACAGTGTGTGCTACCATACCTAGCTTAACAATTGTATCTTTTTTTTTTTTTTTTTTTTTGGTTTTTTCGAGACAGGGTTTCTCTGTGGCTTTGGAGCCTGTCCTGGAACTCACTTGGTAGTCCAGGCTGGTCTCGAACTCACAGAGATCCGCCTGCCTCTGCCTCCCGAGTGCTGGGATCAAAGGCGTGCGCCACCAACGCCCGGCCAACAATTGTATCTTTTTGAATTATTATACCTTTTATAGGTATAAATTTGCCTTTATCTCTTCTGGGACCAGTACAATGGTTTAGTGGGTAGGGTGTTTGGTGCCAGGCCTGATGATCTAAGTTTGATATCTGGGCACCACAGGTGGAATGGGAGAACTAATTCCCACAAGCTATCTTCTGACTTCCATATATGCACCATGGTGCATGTACACACGCTGCATGCATATACATGCACACACACACACACACACACACACACACACACACACACACACACACGATACATAAATGTGAAAAAGACCTGAAAGTAGTTATGTGAGTTTTTGTAGGGAGTCGGGAGGCTCCATTTGCTTGGTGAGTTGATTTCCACCCTTTGTTGACTCAGTTGGATGTCATTGTTAGTGAGATATATTTATTGGAGACAAGAGATACATAGCATCTGTTTTATTTAATCCAGTCAACTACTCTCGGTCCCTTTACTGGTGAGCCAAGGACACTTACATTTAAGATTATTGAGACAGGCTTGCAAATGTTAGCTGTATTCTCTCTCTCTCTTTCTCTCTGTCTCTCCTTGGTGTGTGTGTGTATGTATATGTGCATGCTCGTGGGTGGGTACGTCAACTACTTTGTTTTTAGAGCTGGGTGTCTCATGGCCTTCTGATTTGGCCTCAGCAATCTGTTTGTCTCCATCTCCCCAATGCACACACTACCTTTCCATATTTTTTAAGACATGGATTCTGAGGATCTACCTCGGGTCTTCATGTTTGTGTGGCAGACATTCACTGGCTGAGCTATCACCTATCACCTTAACTTCCTCTCTTTTCTTCCCTATTGGCGTTAGATGTTTGCTAGCTTACTGTGATGGACTTGATAGATTCCTTCCCAGCATCCCTTTGTCCATCTATTCCTCTTATTTCTATTTTCATTTATTCATTCATGTGTGTGAGTTATGTGTGTGAGTGTCTGTAGGTAACAGCATGTATGTAGAGGTCACAGGACAACTTGCAGGGGTGATTCTGTCCTTGTCCCATGTAGGTTCTGGTGATGGAACTCATGTGCACAAACTTGGAAGCAAATGCCTCTCCCCGCTGAGCTATCTTTGCCGCTGCTGTCCACAGCCACACCCACCCAGCAAGGGAATTCATGTTCCAGGGTTAGAAATGACAAAGACAGAGGGACCTGTTTAGATCTCAGCAGTGTGCTTTCTTCCCAAAGTCCCACACTCTTGAGAAAAACCCTCTAGCTAGAACATTACCCTTCTCAGGGGGTATAAGCTGCCAAATCCCAGGAGGGTGGGGAAACCTGTCCAGTTCGTGGATAGCAAAGCTGTGTGTGGCCAGGTGATGATGTCTGGTCCACAAAGAAGGGAAGCTACTAAAGTGAAGACAGCTCTGGAAGACATTGGATGCTAGCTCAATATTGGGTCAGCAAAAATAATAAGACAGGGAGCAGCCTTCATGTACCCAGAAGTCTCCAATTTTAGGGAAGAGGGAAGCCATTTAAATGCATTCATGGGTGAATGTTGGGAGCCTTTATCATTTATTACAGCAGCAGCAATTAATATTCTAGGTATCAGCTCCACAGTATTTGTTACTATGAATTTGACTGTATATAGAATATATACTGGGTGCTTTGTAATCTCAAATAGGCCCCAGAGAAAGGAATTCCTTTTTACTAAGTGTCAAGCAGTAAGAGCTGCAGCCTTTGGATCTCACTCTAGAGTCTTAGTTTTTCCCTTTGATACATGGCTGAGAAGTCCCCTTAATGAATTAACAGCACATGTTGCAAGTCACATCCTCCATGAGACTGAAGTTTGCCAGGACATTTTGCAAGTCACATCCAAGGGAGAGACTTGAGGTGCCTGCTTTTCTCAAGACCTTATCCACCTTCCTGACTCTGAGAGATATGCATGCCCTATTGTCAGAGAGTTTTTACATGTGCCTGTGGGCATAAAAACTAGAAGCCTTGTGGGATAGGGGGAGACCTTGGGAGAACTTAGAAGGACCTTCTGGAGACTTTTTATAGGGACCTCAAGAGAACTTACAGAAGAAGAAAATTTAAGAGAGTTTTTAATAGGAACCTTGAGAGAATTTTTAGAAGGAACTTTCAGATCTTAAGAGAACTTTTAGCTGGTTGTTGGGGGTACACACCTTTAATCCCAGAACTTGAGAGGCAGAGGCAGGGAGATCTCTGTGAGTTCGAGAGAGAGAGAGAGAGAGAGAGAGAGAGAGAGAGAGAGAGAGAGAGAGAGAGAGAGAGAGAGAGAGAGAATCAAGACCCGGGACTTGAATGCTCTTGTTATTTTGGTGCCTGAAATGCAGGGAATCAGGAAGGTAATTTCGGGACCAGTCCTAAAGAGACTGTTTTCCTGAGAGACTCGCACTGCAGGTCTCCCTAATCCTTGACTACAGCAGGATCTCACCAGGAAGGTTGCTGCAGAACTGGAAGTTCCAGAACTTCTTTTGGTGGTGAGTAAAAGAAAAATTCCTTTAATCCCCACCCCCATCCCCAAAGGCTCCCAATAACCTTCATATACCCAGAAGTCTCCAATTTTAGGGAAGAGGGAAGTCATTTAAATGCAGTCTTCATGGGTGAGCTCCCTGTGTTTTTCATTTTGGCTCTTTTACTGTATCTTATTATTTGGTTTTGGTTTTTCAAGACAGTGTTTCTCTGTGTAACAGCTGTCTCAAAACTTGATTTGTAGTCCAGGCTGGCCTTGAACTCACAGAGATCCACTTGCCTCTGCCTCTCAAATGCTGGGACTAAAGGTGTGTGTCACCTCTACCCAGTGTTTTAGTATTTTTAGCTTATCCTACTTAAATACTTTGTGGAGCTCAAGAGATGGCTCAGCACGTAGGGTGCTCTCAGTGTGGGGGTGCTCTCAGCGTGGAGGGTGCTCTCAGTGTGGAGGTGCTCTCAGCATGGAGGGTGCTCTCAATGTGGAGGGTGCTCTCAATGTGAAGGGTGCTCTCAATGTGGAGGGTGCTCTCAGCATAGAGGGTGCTCTCAGCATGGAGGGTGCTCTCAATGTGGAGGGTGCTCTCAATGTGAAGGGTGCTCTCAATGTGAAGGGTGCTCTCAATGTGGAGGGTGCTCTCAGCGCGGAGGGTGCTCTCAGCATGGAGGGTGCTCTCAATGTGGAGGGTGCTCTCAGCGTGGAGGGTGCTCTCAATGTGGAGGGTGCTCCCAGCGTGGAGGATGCTCTTAGCACATAGGGTGCTCTCAGCGTGGAGGGTGCTCTCAATGTGGAGGGTGCTCTCAATGTGGAGGGTGCTCTCAGCGTGGAGGGTGCTCTCAGCGTGGAGGGTGCTCTCAATGTGGAGGGTGCTCCCAGCGTGGAGGATGCTCTTAG